AATAGCCAAAACAATCATGGAAAATGGCAAAGTTGGAAGATTCATATTTCTAGATTTCAAAGCTTAATACAAAGCTACAGTCATCAAGACAGTATAGACAGGGGTACTAGCACAAGGATAGACATGTAGGTCAATAGGGTAGAACTGAGAATGCAGAAATAAACACAGTTATGGCCAATTGATTTTCAACAAGGACATCAAGACAATTCAATGGGAAGAACAGTCTTTTCAACAAATCATGCCGAGGTCCACAGGATATCCCCAGAATGAAGAGAATGAAGCTGTACTGCTACCTCATATCACACACAAAAATTAACCCCAAATGGATCAAAGACCTAACTTTGAGAGCTAAAGCTATAAAACCCTTAGAAGAAAACTCAGGGATAAATCTTCATGACCTTGGACTAGACAAAGTTTTCTTAGATATAACACCAAAAGCAAAAGCAACCCAAGAAAAATAGATAAACTGAACTTCATCAAAATTAAAACCTTGTGCTTCAAAGGAAACCATCAAGAAAGAGAAAAGACAACCCACAGAATGAGAGAAAATATTTTAAAAATCATGTATCTGATAAGGGACTGAATCTAAGATATATAAAGAAACTTACAACTCAATAGTAAAAAGACAACCCAGTTTTTTAAACAGGCAAAAGGTCTGAATAGACATTTCTCCAAAGAAATGGCTGGGAGCACACGGAAAGATACTCAGTCAACACAATATTGAAGAACAAAGCTGGAGGACTGAGGCTACCTGACACTATAAAGCTACAGTAATCAAAACAGAGCAATATTGCCCCCCACACACAAAAAAAGGGCAAATATATCAATGGAACAGAATGGAGAGCCCAGAAATAGACTACCATAAATACAGTCAACTGATCTTTGTCAAAGGAACAAAGGTAACACAATGGGGCAAAGACAATCTTTTTGACAAATGGTGCTGGTGCTGAAACAACTGAATATCAACATACAAAAAAAAAAAAGAATCTAGACACAGACCTTTCACCCTTCACAAAATTTAACTCAAAATGTATCATGGACCTAAATGTAAAGTGCAATTACTAAAGCTCCCAGAATATAGCATAGCAGATAACCTAGAATACCTTGTAATGGTGATGCCTTTTTAGATTCAACACCAAAAACACAGTCCATGAAAGACATAATTGATAACCTGTACTTAATAAAATTAAAAACTTCTGGTTCAGCTATTATGGAAAACAGTATTGAGATTCCTCAAAAAACTAAAAATAGACTTAGCATATGATCCGGCAATCCCATTCCTGGGCATATTTCCAGAGGAAACTCTAATTCAAAAAGATAAATGCACCCCAATGTTCATAGCAGCACTATTTACAATAGCCAAGACATGGAAGCAATCTAAATGTCCATTGACAGGTGACTGGATAAAGAAGCTATATATGTATATACGATGGAATACTACTCAGCCATAAAAACCAATGAAATAATGCCATTTGCAGCAATATGGACAGACCTGGAGATTGTCATCCTGAGTGAAGTAAGCCAGAAAGAGAAAGGAAATTACCATATGATATTGCTTATATGTGGAATCTAAAAAAAAATAACAAAAATGAACTTATTTACAAAACAGTAACAGATTCACAGACATAGAAAACACCTTATGGTTACCAATGGGGAAAGGGATGGTGAAGGGATAAATTGGGAGTTTGGGATTTGCAGATACTAACTACTACATATAAAATAGATAAACAACAAGGTTCTACTGTATAGCACAGGGAACTACATTCAATAACTTGCAATAATCTATAATGAAAAAGGATAGGACAAGGAATGTATATGTATAACTGAATCACTATGCTGTATACCAGAAATTAATACAACATTGTAAACTGACTACACTTCAATTTAAAACAATTTTTTAATTAAACACTTCTGCTCTGCAATAGATAATACCAAGAGAATTAGAAGACAAGTCATGGAGTGGGAGAAACTAAAAGACACATGTGATAAAGGATTGTTACCCAATATATACAAAAAATTCTTAAAACTCAACAGCAAGAAAGAAACAACCTGAATCAAAAATGGCCCAAAGACCTTAACAGATGTCTCACCAAAGAAGATATGCAGATGGCAAGTAAGCACATGAAAAGATGCTCCACATCATCATATGTCACCAGGGAAACACAAATTAGAACAACAATGAGGCTACCACTACATATACCTTTTATGACGGCCAAAGTCCAAAACACTGACACCACCAAATGCTGACAAGCATGTGGAGCAACAGACAATCTCATACGTTGCTGATGGGAATGTAACATGGTACAGCCACTTTGGAAGACGGTCTGGTGGTTTCTTACAAAATTAAACATACTCTTACCATATGATCTAGCAATCACATTCCCTGGTGTTTACCCCAAAGAGGTGAAAACTTATGTCCACATGAAACCCTGCCCACGGATGTTTATAGCAGCAGTTTATTCATAATTTTCAAAACTTGGAAGCAACCAAGATGCTCTTCAGTAGGTGAATGAAAAAATAAACTGTGGGGAAAGGGTACAGTTCAGCGGTAGAGTGTGTGCTTAGCATGCATAAGGTCCTGGGTTCAATCCCCAGTACCTCCACTAAAAAATAAAATCAAGCAAAAAACTAGTTAAAAAATACATAAAGAAACTTAATTACTCCCCGTCCCTCCAAAAAAATTTTTAATAAAATATAATAAAAATAAACTGTGATATATCAGACAATGGAATATCATTTAGTGCTAAAAATAAATGTGCTATTAAGCCATGAAAAGACATGGAGGACCCTCAAATGCATATTAGCAAAAGAAGACAAAATGAGAAGGCTACACACTGTATGATTCCAACTATATGCCATTCTGGAAAAGATAAAATTATGGAGACAATAAAAAGATTAGTGGTTACCGTGGAGGGTAGGAGGTATTTGAGAAAGTGGAGCACAGAGGATTTTTAGGGCAGTGAAATACATTTATCCAAACCCACTGGAAGTAAAACACCAACTGTGAACCCTTCAGTAAACTATAGACTTTAGATGATTATGATGCGTCAATGCAGGTTCATCCTTGGTGACAAATGTACAATCCTGGTGAATGATGTTGATAATGTTAAGGGTCATGCACATGTGGGAGCAGGGAGTATGGGAGAAATCTCTGATTGAGGGAGAAACTTCCCGTCAGTCTTATTGTAAACCAAAAACAGTGTTAAAAAAAATAAAGTAAAAAAAAAAAACATATTCAATGCCACTAACCATTAGGGAAATGAAAAGCAAAACCACAATGAGATACCACTTCACATACACTAGAATGGCAATAATCAAAAAGATGGACAGTGACAAATGTTGGTGAGGATATGGAATAGTTGGAACCCTCATACACTGCTGGTGGGATTGCAGAATGGTACAGCCACTATGAAAACATTTGGCAGTTCCTCAAAATGTTAAATATAGAGTTACATGACCTGACATTCCACTGCTGGGTATATACCCAAGAGAACTGAAAACATATTTCCATACAAATTTGTACCCTCTTCCCTGGGGAAGGGGAGAGCCAGGGCAGGTAAAAAGAGGAGAGATGCATATGGACATGCTCTTAGACATGTGGTTAAAAGAAGAAAAAAAGTTGGAGAAGAATACAAACAAAATGAACAATTATGTTGGTTTTTAAAGAGACACAGATACACACACCTATATGTAAACATGTAAGAGAAACATACAGCCAGCTGATTATAACTGTTCTTTCCAGATGCAAGCCTGGGATGAGGGAGGTGGAATTTCATTTTTTACTCTACAATGTCTGATTTGTTTGCATTTCTGTATATTAAGAAATAATCGATGTTTCTTCTACAAAAGAGCATTTCTTTTTCTAGCCAAAAGGGAAGGAAAGAGGGAAGAGGCCATTAGAGTTGGTCAGTGTGGAAACTTGTGAAAGTGGAAAAAGCATCCCAAGTGGTGGGAACAGCAAAAGCAAAGACGCAAAAGTGGAAAAGCCCCTGTGGTATTTGGGAGACTGTCAGGTTCAGCTCCATTACAGGGTCCAGTGGGTGACCTGGGATGGGAGGTTGGTAAAGACGAATCAGCAGAGTGAGTTGAAGCAGCCAAGTTCCAAGTGTGTCATGTGCCCCTCAGGGACTGGGGCCATGGGGGTGAACACTGTAGGCTGTGGGCTGGGGAGACTGCTGGGGGAGGACACGGGGAGAGGATGGAGCAGCTGTGGTTGGGCAGAAAGTCTCAGTAGCGGTTCATACCTGGCCCCTGTCTCACCATAAACTGACTCCCAGCTCCATTATCCAGATTTGGCTCCTAATAAGATCATCTCCATAAAGAATAGCACCTGCACCAATGAAGTCACCAGATCTGAATAAAGAACGTCCAGTGGGTCAGAGCACACGTTTCCTATAGGAGCACAAAGCAGTGATGGAGTGACCTGGGTCAATCCTAAGTCACAAGATGACCCTAGCCAGCCCCTTCTGCATACAGCCTGTGATGAGGGTAAGCACGCTGCAAATACCTTCTCATGTAATCCTCAGAGCAAACCTGTGAGGGTGCAGGCAAGCACTATCCCCATTTACAGATGAGCAAACTGGCTTGCAGAGGTTAGGCACCTTGTCCAAGGTCACTCCACCGGTAATGCTGGGATGGAAACTGGAATACAGGACCCCAACTGCCATCTCTACAACCTCCAGACACCTCAATTTGCCTCAAAGCCAGTCAGTGCACTGCTCCAGCCTCCAGAAAAATATCACTAAGCTCAGAATGGGAGATGAATCCAGGGCTTGGGTTTCTATCAGCAGGAACAGCAAATCCAGATCCATAAAATTACCATATGCTGGCTGGAAGTGGAGGTAGGGTGTTGGGACATGGAGCCAAGTCCGACTGTTAAATAACTAGCTTGGTCTTTAGCTAGCTGAACCAGGCAAGACACCAAGCTGCCTCCTCTGTTCAGCTCTGGCCACAGGCCCCAGCTTCTCTTTCTGGAGCATTCTGGTTTTGACCAGGGCCCCATGTATAGCTCTGCCCCAACTTGTAATCCACCTTGGAAAAGTCAGGAGATCCTGGGAAATAAAGACAATGACTTCCTCCAGCCTTGTTGTTCCATGGTCACCAGGGACCCCAGGGCATCCACCTACCATCCCAACAAAATCTCACAGAGCCAGGGACTGAGCATTTGGCTAGAAGCAGCCTCTGTCTCCCAGGGCTGACATCCCACGGTGATATGCACCAAAGGGAGGCCTGTCCAAGATACTGAAAACACCGTCTCTATTTACATCACTGAATAAATCTTCTAGGAAGACCCTCCTCACTTCCATCTCTCCCAATACAACTGAGGAGACGCCTAAGAAGTTGGCAAGTTATTCATCATCACTCAATTTCCCAGTCTGGAAAATGGGTTCACTAAGAGGGCCTGGGCCACAAGACAGTTGCAGAGATAACATGAAGATGTTGCTGCAGAGCTCAGTAGCACACGGCACAGCCATTCAAATCAACTGGCATTTATTGAGGGCTGCTATGTCAGCTCCTTTTCCACAGTACACTTCAATGCATGCACACACACACACAAACACACACTGCTATAACCAATGAGAACTGAGAGCCAGTAACTTTCTGGATCTTTGCACATGCTGTTCTCTCTTCCTTCCGTCCCATTCCATCCTCTGAGGCAGGGAGGTTATAGCCATCCCTCTCTGTATCTTCTTAGATGTCACTTTTTCCAAGGAGACTTCCTGTCACACCTCCTTTATGCTATGTTAAATAACATCAATTGATTAGTCGATCAATCAGTCAATCAGTGGAGAGAATGGGAAGCATTCATCTCTTGGTCCACAATCCTATACATTTTCATATCTTCACTTTTTCCCATCAAAGCCCTGCTAAGTAACTATTTTCCCTCTAGGTGGTGAGGTGGATGTAACCAAATGACACAAAAGAGGAAGGAGTGCATGGTCAAGGCAGGCGGGGTGAGGCAAGCCCTACTATGTCTAGAGTTATAGTTCCAGCAATGTCCCCAAGGTTCATGCTCATTGCCCAGGCAGCAGTTTCAGGAACATCATCACTCCAGGTCCCACACTCAGGAAAGGAAGGCGGGAGCCTTCTGGTCAACCAGGAGAGCACACAACGCTGAGATTTTACTCCAGCCACCTGCTGGGATTTGGAGAGAAGGTGGGAAAAGTTCTGCTCACACTGCCTCATTCCCTCTCTCCCTTCCCCAGGGAGATAGACCATGTTCAGGGCCCCAGAGCTGACTGGTCACACCAGGAGCCTGACTGCAACCTTGGGTTCCATATGCATAGAATGGTCTTCCCCAAGATACCCACATGGCTGCTCCGTCTTTCAACTGGGTTTCTGCTCGGATGCTGCTTCCTCAGAAAAACTTGCCCTAACCTAAACCAACCCTGCCTCCATCCCACTCACTCTGATGCCCTTACCCAGCTTCATCTTCTCATCACACTGATTACACTCCCTGACACCATATTACAGGTCTAGTTGTCTGCTGTCCATCTCCACCACTGGGATTTGATCTCCTAAAGGGAGGAATGCTGTTGGTTTTCTTGACTGCTGTGTGGCCAGTGCCAGAGTCCTTCCATAAGTGATTCTTGAATAAATGAAGTACATGAGCTGAGCTAAGTGGCTAAGGCACACAAAAAAAGCAAAGCTTACCTCCAAACCTCTCCACAGGAGACCCCACTCCACTCACCACACTGGTGATCTCAGACACTGGAACTAACTCAATAAACTAGAATCATATATAAAAACATTCCGTTTTCACTCAAGTTTCAACCTGTATATGTGAGGTGATATGAATCAGGCAATAGTTATACAAACCATTAAGATAACGAGTCCAAAGATTAATTTTTTAAGTATATGTAAGGCCACAATTAATAAACTGATTAAGGAACGATTAGGAAAAGTCCAGGGAAAGAACAAAAGAGTAAAAGAAACAGAGCCCCACCCCTGCTGCCCAGTGAGTTACAGGAGCCTGGACAATACAGAGCTTGGCCTGGAAGGTTTGTAAGCTATTGTAGTTTTCTTTGATGCCTCTTTGCCTCAGACCCCCTCTGATGACATATGACTCAGTAGCACACTGAGTTCTGGCCAGGGCTCAGGAACCTTGGTGATGGCAGAAGTAGAGGCAGCTCACTGGGATGGATGGTGATGGATGAAGGGAGATCAAGATGCAAAAAAGACCAGAAAAACTGGAGTGGTAGCATGCAGAAGCCCGGAAGTCATATCTCATCCTAATCAGAGCGGGTACAGGGGCTATAGGCAGTTCTCTGCACCCACATCTTTCCTCCAACAGAATGGGCTCTCTCAGGAGGCAGTGAGTCCCCTGTCACTGGAGGATTCAAGCTCAGTTAAGCAATAACTAGGAAGAGATGCTGTGGAGGTAGTTTAAATTGCAGGTTGAACAATGTGACCTCAAAGGTCACTTTAACCCAGAGCTCCTGATTAATGGCCTGTTTCTTTGCATCTCACTACTCTTAAACCTCTCTAGCCTCACCTCACTTCCCTCAGTGGACACTCATTCGTTCTGTCACTCAGGGACATTTATTGAGCACCTACCATGTGCCAGGGGTCAGAGTTCAGCAGTGACCAGGGCAACACATCTACCCTATTGGAGTCTACATTCTCCTGGGTGAATGAAGATAATAAACCCATAAATAGATGCATGAGTAAGACCATTTCAGGTAAGCTCTATGAGTAAAAGATAATGGGGGGATGTGACAGAAACTGAAGGAAGAGGGGCTGTTTTAGACAAACTGCTCAGGGGAAATTTTCTACAGAGGAGGCATCTGAGCTAAAGGGCAAGAAGTTGTCAGACATGAGAAGTGCTGGAAGAGTGTGCAGCAGAGGGAGGAACATGTGCAAAGGCCCTGAGAAGTCTCCTGATACCCTGAGTTCAAATTTTCATGAACTGCACCCCATCCTAAAGGCCCCACCACAGTCCAACAGTCCCTACCCCCACCACCTGCCTTCTACTTTCCCCAGTGGACTTCTTTATCAGATTTTCTCAAGTCAAGGCAGACCTGAATTTTCCACTGGAAGGTCTGCTCTGAGCAAGGGCTCAAAGGAACATGTGTGCATCTCCACCTCCAGAGGCAGAGGTAATGTTGACATGTTGACTTCATAAAAAAAAATGGACCTGCCCTGTATAGGGAGCAAGAACTTGCATCTTCCCACCAGCTGTTCAGGGCCCACTTTTGTGGGATGCAGGCCTTTTGCAGATTGTGATAAAAAAAGAGAACCCTCTGGAAAAACATACATGTGTGCTCCAGCATCTCATGTGTATCTCAGGAGGTTCCTAGAGCCCCAGGTTCAGAACACCCATCTGTGGTTACTACCACCAGAAGTAAAAATTAAACTAGTGCAGCCCAGGGACACCCCACTGATGGAAAGGACAAGTCGCTGGAGGTGAATGAATGAAATGGGAGAGACAGGATCAGGTCATCAGCCCCTAAATAGACTCCCACACTCACAGAGACAGAGGATGTCAGCTTGTCAGGGAGCCTAAGGCCTGAAAGAATTCAGGTGAAACTTTATCCACTACACCCCAGCCAGAGAAACGTCCAGTCACAGCCCAGAGCCTCCAGAGAAGGTCCAAGATCCCACTCTGCAGGAGTGTCCTTGACAAAGGTCATCACTAATCTCGTGTTCTGAGAGACATTTTGCACAAGGCTGGTTAACCATAGGAAGTGTTACTGCAAAGCCCAAGTGTTTCAAGACTGAAGGGGACACCACGGTTACTGAGTGAACAAGGCAGGTCCTTGGCAGGAGAAGGAGAAGTGCCAAGAGCCTGCCCACCTACCCGACTGGGGAGCTAGGGTCGCGGATGCCCTGTTAGATGTGAGCCACAATAATAACAAGAACAGCTACCCGAGGTGGAGGCACTATATTAAGAACTTTAATCTTACACAACCTTTTAAATTTTGTACTATTATCATCTTCATTTTACAGATGAGGAAACTGAGGCACAGACAGGCGAAGTAACCTGCCCAAGACTACACAGCTGAGACACAGACAAAGCGAAACTCTCCTCTTCCACACCCAAGGACAGAAAAGCGGTAATACCTGGATAGTGCCTGAAATACTTAAAAATAATTTTCTGCTAGTTCGTCCAAGACAACTACTGTTTGGCAGTTCTCACATCCTCGCCCAGTGCTGGAAGAAAGCCTGGATTCGGCATTAAATGGAGCAAGAGCCCTCTAGGAACAAGCAGCTCTGTTTCAGCAATGTTCAAGCCCACGATGAGGCCGCTGATAGTGCAAGCGCCGCTCTTCCTCGTGGCAAAGCCCAAAGGAACCTATTTCTACCCGACTCGGTAGAAACTTCCACACTCAGAAAACGCTCAGCTCACCTGTCTCAAACTCCGAGGCACCGAGGTTCACTTTAACCTCTGGTATCCGCCTTTCCCCTGCCCCCTACCCCCTCACCCCCGCCTGTATCTCAGGATCCTCTGGCCGCGCAGTTTAAAAGATGCAGCCGCCAGCACTGGGGCCTGGGTGGGATCGGAACCGCCGGCACCGCCTCGTGCGCTCAAATCCCCCGCCGCAAAGTGAACCGGCGGTCCTGTGAGCCCCCAGCCAGCACTGCCAGACGCTGACCTATGGGAAGACCCCAGAGAGAAAGGGGCTGCGCCCCAGGACAGGTAACACCTCCCTCCCCGGAAGTAGCTGCGGGAACTTTCGCCCAAGGGTTACGGGAGGACCGAAGTCAGGGTCTGTTTCCAGAGCTGGTGGTGGCATCGCCTACCTGCGCCGCGCCCGGGCGCCTAGTGCGCCCCGGAGCGCTCCGAGTGCCCCGGGCGAGAGAGCCTACAGAACCCGCTGCGGGTACTGGCATGGGGCGAGGGGGACCCTAGCGGGTTCCAGCTCCAGGATGGTGGGTGAAGGAAGAAAAGGAACCAGCCAGGGAAAGTATCCTGCTCCAGGGGGTCTAGCGGAGCAGCGGGGCTCCAAGCCAGCCGCCCACACTCACCTCGGCGC